TCTTTAAGGTGCCACCAGACTCCTTGTTATTTCCCTTCCAGGTAACCGGGTAGCAGATAATACCCTTTTAAGTAAGCACAGTGCCTGTGAGCCTCACTGACTAGTAGAAAATATCAAGCAGGAGCATCTGTACCGTTTTAAAAATCTGATTCTTAAGGGTCAGATTTTCAAAAATAGGTGGACTTTCCCATATACTCAACTCGTGTATAGTGAACTCACGTGTGCCCTTGCATACCATCACTTGGGCACAAACGAGTAATGCGTACATACACATTGGAGTTAGGCTTTGTGTCTGAGTTTGCACAAAAACGTACACACACCTGTGTTCATAAAATAAAGAACAAAATGCAGCCAGCTGTTTTTTGTTTTACCTGGGCTACCTGGAGGTCCGGGTGGTCCCCTGTCCCCAGGAGGCCCAGAAATGCCAGTTCCTATACAATTAAAGCACGTCTCTCCCTTATCACCTAGAAAGAGTCACATTATAAAAGCAGATATGAGCATTTAGTTCTGGAAAACACAGAGCATCCAACATAATAGTACTGTCATTATATTCACCCTATATTATATCATTGCATATGATAATTATAATTGTATATAATTATATGATATCTTAATAGATTAGCAGAAGGCTTCTCATAGACATCACTTTTAGCCTCCTTGATTTTTAGGAACCAAAGTAGCATTTAGATCTACTATTACCCGAAAAAGGACTCCAGGTAGAGCGCATGGTACAGAGCAGATGTATCTGATGGAATTTGTTTAGCAAAAATGCAAAACAACACAAAACAAAAACCAAAATCCTTTCAGTGTCCAAAAATCCAAATGTGGATCTTTTTCCAGGTATTAGCTCCTTTAGGGGGCAAATCTTTCAATACTAGGAGCTGGGATTTCAAAAGACATTAAATGCCAGCGTCAAGAGTTATAATTATGAAGATTCCAAGAAGGAAAAAACAACCAATATGGGAAATGTTTAGTAAAATACAGCTGACATGAAAACATTCTAATCATACTCTCTTAAAAAAGCCTACAAGGTTTTTTAGAGGTTTAACAGTTTTATGGATGTACACCAGGCTTTTCTATGATGCTCATCACTGTATTATCTGAGCATTTCCTACGTATTCATGAATTTATCCTCTTTGACGTGGGAGATGCTTTAAACGGCAAGAAAGAGACAAAGCATAGTTATGACACTGCACCTTTCTGGCCTCGCTCCCCCATAAACCCTTTTTCTCCTGGAAGTCCTGGAAAACCCGGGGGTCCGCGCTGACACACTCTGTCACCTAAAGGTGAAAGAGTTAAGAGAGAGAGAGTTAGCTCTACTATCAGTCGAACGGAGACAAGAAACACTAAACAGAGATTGGGGAAGCTCATTTTATTACTCCACACCAGACACTGGTAACATGGGGCTGGGGCTTCTACACTGCACAGCACAACAATGCAAGCCATAAAACACAAGAAAATAAAGAGTTACATCTACACCCCAATCAATATTCCCCTTCCATTTCTCACCCCCACCGAGCAACCGATATGCAGCCATAACTCTGCTCATAAATGTGCCCATATATGCCGCAGCACCCACGGGGAGGAACTCTCATGATATGCAAAAGTCTCAGTGTAGAGACATGAGGATCCTCCCTGACTCCCCCTGGCACATCCATGCTAGCCCCTCCCTCCCAACGCCTTCCCAAAGTCCCACTCAACCCTGCATTCCCCCTCCAAGCCTGCTCACTCTGCCTGGCCCTTCACATCCCTCACTGAGCACAGACCACCAGAGCCCACCTCCAGACTCTCTGTTACTCAGCTTATCTCCCGGCCTTCGACCTGGGAGGCAGGCTGGCAAAGTTAGAATACGAAGTAGCATATGGACCTGAGCCATTCCATGGAGTTATTCTAAATATGGGGAATAACAATGTATTTAATTAAAATACCTCCAAAGTAGCCTATGCCCAAGACGTTATGTGGGGCATGTGTGTGTAGGGGAGGGGAGTTGGAGTTCATGGGGGATTTTGGCTGCTTAGTTAGAGGACCCAAAGAAACATGAAGAAGATGGAGCAAAATTTAATATAGAGAGCACTTTTAAAAATGTTTCCTTTTCAAGTTATGAACTGTTTTACCGAAATAAAACAGAAATTTTAATTGTCCTCTAACAAGTTATTAGGCCAAATGTGGAGACTAAACTCAATCTCTAAAGAATGACAGAGAGGGACTTAATCCTTATTTAAGTGCAAATCCCAACACATCCTTAACTACTTTATTATTTAGAACAAGTGGGATTTGTTAGCATGAGTTGGAAGCAGCAATATTCTGCACCTCTGGGGCCAGATCATTGGCCCTGCTCTATTAACACTATGCCACTGGAGTGGTGCAAACTGACCTTAAAGATGCCCAATATGGGGAAATCCTGGGCTGTAATAAAGCTTGTATAGTCTGCTTTACACAAAGGGGTATGTCAGGGCTGGCGGGAGCCAGGAAAAGGCATGGCAAGGCCACACCGAAACATAAGATGGTAATTCCTAGCTAGCAAGGGGACCCTTCCAGACAGCATAAAGTTAGGGCAGTCCTGTTGGTGCTCTAACTTGCATCAGGAGCTGGGAAGGAAGCATAAAGGTGACATGAAATCACCTTTGTCTCTCCATTACTGGAGATGAATAGTGTCCCTGGAGCAGGGGGACAAAATAAACCTACATCATAGATATTTAGTCTCTTTTCCTTGTTGTTGAGTAACTATCTATCTGTCAAGTGTTTCAAGGCTGCAGGTCAATGAAGATATCACTTACTAGGAGGGATAGTTGTTCCGGGAGGTCCAGGGGCACCTGGCGGTCCAGGTGGCCCTGGCCGTCCATCAAGTCCAGGCTGTCCAGGTATGGAAACTCCGGGTAGACCTTGAATACCCTTCTGTCCTCGCTCCCCAGGCAAACCAGGTGGACCAGATGGGCCTATACCTGCAATCCCTAAAATGGAAAAAAAGTTAATTCTTCAGTATCTCTGGTTTAAATCATGGACTTTTGTAAAGGTGAAATGAAAGATGGCTAGGTTGCTGCTACTACCATAGGCAACATCCTCTCTCTAAATCTTCATGTGTATGACCATGGCATAGGAGTTATATTATGGGGTAAGTGTTTTCAACAGGCCTCCATGAAGAGAGCCAAATTATAGGCATACCCAATTGTCTATGCAAACCAGGTAACTGCACATCCTGATGTACACGTGTGTGCACAAGTGTGGAATTTGGGGCAGGCAAATATTACATTTGCAGAGACTTTTGGTTGAAAACTTGACCCCGAGACTTAACATGAGTAAACAATTTAGGTAAGGAAGAAATCGTAACAGGACTAGTGAAAGGAAAAACGGGGGGGGGGGGGGGGGGGGGGGGGAAGGGGGAGGGAAATGTGTATTTATTTGTCATAACTTTAGAGTTACCTAATGTTCTCCTTCCCTGTACAGCTTTCTAATAGACATGGCTAGCAAGCTCCTTTGACCCCTTTCTAGACATGGTCCATCATCAACTCCACCTTTAAGCACTTGGCCAGTCTGTATTTAAACCTATATTTAACAGTCAGCCTCAACAGTTTTGACACAATCTCTGCTCCATACAAATAGAACTCTGATAATATATATTACATGCAAGCAATGAAGGGCTACACTATCCTTAAATTACTACTCCAGCACTCTTAACTGGTGATTCATTGACAGCCCTGAAGACTAGCATCCTCTATTCACCACAGAACAGCAAAAGCATGGACCATGATTGTTCAAGAGTCCTCATGCCTCAACCCTCAGCTGGAGGACCATCTCCAGGGCTCAAAGGTAGCTCTTAATAGTTTTGCCTTCACTGGTCATTCAGTCCATCTGTCAACCAGGGTATCAATTGTGATGGTGATTACTGCTACACTGCCACAACCCCACTAGGCAGTGAACTAAGATCATGAAGCTAACTAACTCTCCAGATAGCAAAATACACAAGCAATACACCTCAACTCTTACCTGGAGGCCCTGACAAGCCAGGAGGCCCTGTCAACCCAGGATATCCACGCTCGCCTTTGGGTCCTGGAAATCCTGGAAGTCCTTTGCTCCCTTTTGGTCCCACTTCTGCACCATTTCCTGTGATCTGTTATATCAACAAGCCAAGAAAAAGTCACTAGAAAGGTGAAGAGAGGTGTGTGAGTGTGTAGCAAAGCCACAAGAGCCAGCTCACGACATTTCAAACCAATGGCACAATCCTCCTAATGCAATTGGGGTCCCAAATAAAACTCTGCTAAAAGAAAGTCCCCTGTTCCAGCAGAGTGCACTATTACTGTGAGGCTGTACTACATTCCCACACGGTTTGCTAAAAAATACTAGAGCACATTTCATTCTTGTGGTTTGAGAGCCAAATGATGTCAGAGTGAGAGCAAGAAAGGTTTCCACAGCCAAGCCTCAGGGCACAGCCCTTTCCCAAAAACACTGAGAGAAGAAAACCTAAAATACCCCCCCCCCTCCAAACTACAGAATCTTCACCCCAGGCATTTTAAAACCTTTTGCTTTCATCTGACATAATTTATTCAATTGCAGTTTCAACGATGGTGCAAATCCATAGCAATGCCACATATGTCAATGGAGATACTCTGGATTTGCATCAGCGTAACAGGGCAGAATTTGACCCTATTCTTTGTTTCAGGGGGACTGCTTGTGGAATAAGATACTACTCTCTGAAGTGAGGCTGAATCCGACCCTATGTGAGAACTCCTGATGACGTCATTAGAATTTCTCAGTTGCAGGATTATATGAATATGGATTATTATATGAATAATAGCATGGGAATATATTTTCATGGTGCTGTTCACTGTGGGGATGATTAGAGCAGGTTGGAAAAAAATTCAAATTTCATTGAAAAAAGCCACTTTCCATCAGAAAAACATTTTGACCGAAAATTTTTGACCAGCTCTACTGATCATGATCTTAATTTATGCTGGTTTTATTGCACTGTCTTCAGTGGATTTGCCTCTGATTTACACTGGTGTAAGTGAGATACAAATCTGGCTTTGTGTTTATAACTGAAAGACCTTGGAACCCAAGATCACACATCCTAAAGGAAGGGAGCAGTGGGTTGTGGTGACTAACACCTGGTGCTACCTGCTGGATCTCTCAGGCAGTAGCATTAACTGGAGACACTAATGCCTGGAAGAAATGAGGAGACAAAATGGCACACTGCCAACCAAATAGAAGAAAAAGAGAAGAAGGCAAAAGCAACTTACAACTCCAGGAGGACCAGGGAGACCACGTTCACCTTTCAGACCCTGCCAATGATATATTTACAGATTACTGAATGACATATTTGTGAACACGAGAGCTAAAAAATTAGTTTTCAAAAACTATCTTATGTTATTATTTGTCAGGAAACAAGCGATTGCAAAGATTCTGTTGGAGGTTAACAGATAAGGCAAGGCAATGCAATTTCTATTTAGTAGGTGCTGGGCATTGGTGTGCAAGCTTCAGTGACAGGCAGGCTTTTACTCTATTGTAGCAGTAAAGACAAATAACCCACACTCACCTTTTCACCATCTCTTCCTGGAACACCATTTAAACCAGGCTCGCCAGGTAAACCCTTCAAGGAAAGGAAAAAAAAAATCCTCCAAATATTCGCTGCAAATATCTCAAGAGCATTACAAAGAATCTCCTTAGGTGAGAAACGTATAAGATACTCACATCCCTGCCGGGCTGGCCAGGATCTCCATCTTTGCCAGGTTTCCCCTTCAAGACACAAACGTGCATTGAAAAATAAAAAGTGTTAGTGGCAAAGAACTGTTGCCAGGAATTGCATGATTTGTTTCCCTTTGTAGTAGATAAATGAAGCAAACTCTCTCTAGAATGCAACCCCTATGATAAATCTCACAGTGAAGAGAGGTGTAATCAGCTGGCATTAATTAAAATGAGGAGTCACATAGAAAACCAGGGTAACAAAAGCTTGATAAACAGAAATCCTAAGTATTATCAGAATGCAGCATAAAATGACCTCAAACTTAACAAATGCTGATTTCCCCCATACTGAATGTTTTCCTGGATATAGATTTAAGGCTTAAATTGTGATTCTATTCTGAAAAGTGACTTGCACCATTTTTACTGTTAGCACTGCAATAACACCACATATTGGGGACAGTGAGTTGGATTCTACTGCAGCTCAGTCATCAACAGCACTGTTGACTAGGTTTGGTCAGAGCCAAAATTCGCCCTTAGTCACACCCAAACAACCCCCTAGCAGACAACAGGGGCCACACAGGTGTAACTAGGACACAGGTTGGTTTGCAGAATTTTTATCACTAGTGACAATGCTCAATTTGGAAAAAAACCAGTGCTTTGAGATCCCAGGCTGACTTTCAGAGGCTGGCAATTACAAAATCATCTCAGTACTTGTAAAAGAGCCCATTTGATACAGAAATTGAGCCACATGAAATAAAGATGGAACCTCACATGCTACTGTAGAGTCACACCTCATAGCAGAACTGAATTTTGAGCCCCCAGTAAACATAAATGTCCCAAATCAGAGGGGAAAAATATACTGTGGGTAAAAGTTAGGGTGAAAGAAAACTCAAGCATTTGTTTGATCTCTATCCCATGCCCAAAAAACAAATCAAAACAAACCCCCTCCTTAGTGAAGCCTAGGACTCTAGAATGCTGAATTAATAAATGGACTTTTTGTACAGTCTTTTTTTAAACCAGGGGCTGGGAAATGGGGAAACCTATCATAAAAGCATTTTATCTCACCTGGTTAACCTCTGTGAAACCTATGGGTCTGATATTCAGAGGGGTCACTGCCCTCAATTGAAGTTGTGGGCGCAGGAATAATACAAGAAAACTAACTTCCAATAGAGAACTTATGAACTGATGGCAGCTTGTCTTTACTTAATCTCCTCAGTCCACCTACTGGACCCCTGCTGAGCTTACTTCACCCCACTGACCTGTGATACCCAAGCCAATCCAAACTCAAGAAAGGTGTAAAGTTGGCTCTGAATCCATGATTCAAGTGACCTATTGCCATCCCTACAAGGTATGCAGTTACCCTGTTTCCCCTCACCAGACTGCATATACACAGCAACAACTCCTTCAGAGACAGGAGATTATATTAAAAGTTAACTCCTGTTTTCAAAGGCTACTGTTCTACTCGCTCACCTCAGAGATAACTTCATTTAGAATGGTTTTTCAGGCACCAGCTTACAAATGTGTCAATAGCACGACTTACTGGGATTCTTTTAGGATAACTAAATGGAGGCCCTCTCTGAAAGGAAACTGCCACTCAAACTGTGCAGCCTCAACAGCTTTAAAGAAAATTTGCATACATAACTGTAAAGCGTTTATTTCCAATACTTATGATAGAGATTCTACCTCTTTTGTTCCTGCCTCAAGATTAAGATCTACACGCAGGGTAATTCCACTAGGGTGCATTGAAAAGGTGCTTTTACACTCAGCTAGAATCACACCAGTGAATCACTAGTGTCATCTGCAATATCTTGTCAGATCATTGGAGGAAAGAAAATCTCTTACCAAGAGAGTCTGATGGCCTGAATTCAATATTTGCTTAATTCTCAAAGCTAAAAGTATTTGGAAAAATAAAATCTTTGGTTCAAGGAAGTTACTTACTCTTTTGCCTGGCTCTCCTTGCTCACCTTTTTCACCTTTCACGCCACCGGAAGGACCCTGAACACACAAACATTGTCTTACACTCAGCTCATGGGGACAGAGCAGAACAAATTTACAATTCTCTTACATTATTCTAAGGAAAAAAATGCCACTGTGGGAATTACTCACAGGAGGCCCTTCTGGCCCAGGGGGTCCTGGTGGACCTCGTTCTCCTGGAATACCCTGTCAGGCATGGGGGGAAAGAGAGAGAAGGGAGTTAAAGCCCTCACCACCCAACATTGGGTCAACATTGTTTTAAACAGGATTTTGCTGCCATTTAAACTTCTTCATATGCCATGAGTGCTAGTGGTTCTTATCAAGTGTCTTGATCCAAGTGTATCCCAAAGTTAATGGTACAAATTTTATTAACTGATCAGTCTATTTATTTCAATGAATCATTGAGATACAATTGCCTCTTGCATATAGCACAGTGGCTGGCTAGCTGCTCACAGCTATGCTGCACAACAGTCTAGGGCAGGAAATAAAAATAACCTAGCCAGTTGAAATTACAGGAGGTTAGTCAAGGGGCAGAGAGTAATTACTAAAGTTGCAAGGACACCATTAATACCTCTACTCTTGGGAATAATGCCATTGGATTGTTAGTGGAAAGGTAGGACCTCTGTTTTCTATAGCTGCACCTCCAGCAGCACATGCTGAATACCTAGTTCATTACTAACTTAGAGGGAAGAGTATCAGCTACTGAATCCCTCAGAGCACTTCATGCAGTATTTGCTTTTTTCTTGCAGGACTTCCATCCAGCTCACAACTTCAGGTGTGATGGCCCCAGGCCACTGTTAAATTTGGGATGACTCCTTTACAGAATGAATAAAAACTGAGTTGTGATGGTCATCAGTCTATAAAAGTTCACTTCCAAGTACATTACTTTCACCAAAAGTCTAAATATTTACCTTAAAATTATTGCTAGTGTAAGGACAAATGTAATTTGCTGGGAGATTGTGTTTGTAGGTCTTGGTGCTTTCTAAGGAATGTACAGTCATACTGTTTCCTTTTGTATATTTATACAGCTGCCTTTTGGCATTATTAGTCTGTCAGAGACCCCAGATGCAATAGTGTGTAAGCTGAAATTAAAGCTCAAAGGAGAAATCCAGACATGCCAAACCCATGGAAAAAAATGCAGAAATTGGGCTTGTTTTTGGCTTAATTGGCTTGTGAGTTGCTTGTTGGCTAGTTTTTAGACTCATAGACTCATAGACTTTAAGGTCAGAAGGGACCAATATGGTCATCTAGTCTGACCTCCCGCATGATGCAGGCCATAAATGTTGACCCCCCCACTTTCCCTTAACTCTGCTGTTGAAGTCTCCAGATTGTGATCTAAAGACTTCAAGTTGCGGAGAATCTTCCAGCTTGCGATCCCTGCCCTATGCTGCGGAGGAAGGCGAAAAACCTCCAGGGCTACTGCCAATCTACCCTGGAGGAAAGTTCCTTCCCGACCCCAAATATGGCGATCAGCAGAACCCCGAGCATACAGGCAAGATTCTCTAGCCAGACCCTCATTTTACCAGCGATGGCCATTATTGCCTAATTGATTAAAGACACGTTATCCCATCAAACCATTCCCTCCATAAACTTATCTAGCCTAATCTTGAAGCCAGACAGGTCTTTCGCCCCCACCGTTTCCCTCGGAAGGCTGTTCCAAAATTTCACCCCTCTGACGGTTAGGAACCTTCGTCTAATTTCAAGCCTAAATTTCCCCACGGCCAGTTTATATCCATTCGTTCTCGTGTCCACATTAGCACTGAGCTGAAATAATTCCTCTCCCTCCCTGGTATTTATCCCCTTGATATATTTAAAGAGAGCAATCATATCCCCCCTCAACCTTCTTTTGGTTAGGCTAAACAAACCAAGCTCCTCGAGTCTCCTTTCATAGGACAGGTTTTCCATTCCTCGGATCATCCTAGTGGCCCTTCTCTGTACCCGCTCCAGTTTGAGTTCATCCTTTTTAAACATAGGAGACCAGAACTGCACACAGTACTCCAAGTGAGGTCTCACCAGCGCCTTGTATAACGGAAGCAGCACCTCCCTGTCCCTACTAGAAATACCTCGCCTTATGCATCCCAAGATCGCATTAGCTTTTTTCACAGCCACGTCGCATTGCCTACTCATAGTCATCCTGCGATCAACCAGGACTCCGAGGTCCTTCTCCTCCTCCGTCACTTCTAACCTATGCGTCCCTAGCTTATAACTGAAATTCCTGTTAGTCATCCCTAAATGCATCACCTTACACTTCTCGCTATTAAATCTCATCCTATTATTATTACTCCAATTTACAAGGTCATCCAAGTCTCCCTGCAGAATATCCCGATCCTTCTCCGAGTTGGCAATACCTCCCAACTTTGTGTCATCCGCAAACTTTATCAGCCCACTTCTACATTTGGTTCCGAGGTCAGTAATGAATAGATTAAATAAAATCGGACCCAAAACCGAACCTTGAGGAACCCCACTGGTGACCTCCCTCCAACCTGACAGTTCACCTTTCAGTACTACCCGCTGCAGTCTCCCCTTTAACCAGTTCCTTATCCACCTCTGGATTTTCCTATCGATCCCCATCTTTTCCAATTTAACCAATAATTCCTCATGCGGTACCGTATCAAACGCTTTACTAAAATCGAGGTATATTAGATCCACCGCATTTCCTTTATCTAGAAGGTCTGTTACTTTCTCAAAGAAGGAGATCAGGTTGGTTTGGCACGACCTCCCTTTCGTAAACCCATGTTGCAATTTGTCCCAATTGCCATTCACCTCAAGGTCCTTAACTACTTTCTCCTTCAAAATTTTTTCCAAGACCTTGCATACTACAGAAGTTAAACTAACAGGCCTGTAGTTACCCGGGTCACTTTTTATCCCCTTCTTGAAAATAGGAACCACATTAGCTATTCTCCAGTCCAACGGTACCACCCCCGAGTTTACAGATTCACTAAAAATTGTCGCCAAGGGGCTTGCAATTTCTCGCGCCAGTTCCTTCAATATTCTCGGATGAAGATCATCCGGTCCGCCCGATTTAGTCCCGTTTAGCTGGTCAAGTTTGGCTTCCACCTCTGATACTGTAATGATAATCCCCCCTCCTGTATTCCCCTCTGTCCTACTCCCTCTATTCCTAAACCCTTCATTAGCCTTATTTTGGCTTGTAGCTTGTTGCTTCTTTTTTTTGACCAGCTCCCGGCAAGCAGGGGCAAGGGGTGGGGCAAGCAGGGGCAAGGGAGGGAGAGAGAGTCAGGGGTGCACAGCGGGCCCACCACAGTCCCAGACTGCACACCAGGGGGATCTAGTCACATAGAGTGTTAGGGATTGGCTTGTTCTGAAATGGGATTAGCTTGATTTTTGGCTTATTGTGAAAGTCAGGGTGCTTATTTACTGTGTGAAAGTTGGCAACTGTGGTGAAATCCTGAAGTCAATGGAAGTATTGCCATTGCTCTCAATGGGGCCAGAATTTCCCCACAAATATAGAATTAAAGAGATGGCCAGTTCTCTGCTTCTTCATCTACTACCCTGGGCCCAGTGAATCAGAGAACACCAGAGTCTCCCACCTTTCCAGGATGACTCCATAGGGTGGATGTGTATTAGTGGATAGATCTGAAGGATGCTTCAATAGGGCCAAAGGTTCTTATGAAGGAAAGGACAAATTGCTTTGATCAAAGTGAAAGGAGGAGAGGTCTGGCACTCCTTCCCACATCCCACTTAAGGGCAGACCACCGGTGCTTTCTTCATGCTGAAATGTTTGACAACAAAAACAGGATGAAAAGGTAGATGGAATGAAGCAAGATGTTAATCCTAAAACAGCTGGAGAAAACTAAAACCAATTCCAGGGTCTGATTGAAGTTATTCAGAAATTCAGATATCCTGGTGATGGGTGCAGTATAAGCAGAATAGAAGAAGGACCACTCCTACCTCCAAATATACACCTCATCCCTTGCCTAAGGTCAGGCTGGTGTTTGGCATTACCACAGAACTTCAAAGGAAAAAAACCCAAAGCACTCATGCCCCTGCTTGTGCTGCCTGACTCATCTGGGATAGCCCCCGTAAAAGAAGTGGGATTGTGAAAAGTTGTCGGATCAACAGGACAGGACAAATTTAGTATCTTCAGAACTGGCATCTCTCCCAATGATTCTTCAGCAGTTGAGGGTGGGGAAGTTTCAGTACAAGTTAAAGCAACAGTTTGGAAAATGGAACTTAAAAATCAGTAGCATTATTGCCAGCAAGGCTACAGATTCACTGGGGTAGCCAGATGTGCATATTTAGGTGCATAGAAAGTGGAAAATGACTTTATTTAGACCAAAAGAAAGAAGGAACTCAAGATATCATATATGACAAGAAGGTTAAGTCGGCTGCATTTTAGTTTTTACAGGACCCCTCATTATGGTATGATAGATGCAGCTGAGATTTTCATAGATGTCTAATGAATGGGAATTGGGCATCTGAATCCCAAGAGAGCTTGGAAAATCTCAGCCTGGATGTTTAGAGTTGACTAGCCATTCAAATCTTGCTGTGGAAGGTTAGTTACTTTTATTGTTTCCATAGGATTTCATTTTGGAGACTGTTTCTTGTGTAGTTTAATTTTTTAAATAACGGAAACATGTGGAGCTGGCTCAGACATTGTGCAAAATGAAACAACCGAACCAATATGATTGAAACATCCTCTGATACAGGGAAAATGGATAGGCTTGGCTGAGGCAAATGACAATTCAGTGCCTTGGAAAAAGCAGCAGGACCCCCAACAAGCTATACTTTGGGGGGTGTCATTCTGAGTAGTACAGCCTCCACTGAATGAGCTGCTCTAAGTAGCTGGATATGTGCCTACCATAGATGGACACAGTTTCCTCCATTCCCACTCACCTGATCTCCTTTCTGAAACTCTACATCATTTGGTCTCTTCTGCTCCCCAATTTGTCCTGGTGGCCCTGGAGGTCCCTGAAGGCCTTGGTCACCCTAACACCCAAAAAGATGGCAAAATATATAAAACTTCCCAGGCTATTACAGACATGGACAACATGAGCCACGCCGGTATGCAGTAAAAGAAGCTTGAATCGTTCTGAAAGCAATACAGTAAAAATCCTCTACTCACTTTTTCACCCTTGGGTCCTTGGAAGTTCAAACCCATATTACCCTGCAAAGAGTTAAAATAAACAACGCTTAGAACAGAGTTGAACAAAACTAAAGGAAAAATAAGAAAAGAAGGCGGCGGCAGGGGGAAAGGGGTATACCTTAGGCCCTGGAAGCCCTTTTGGACCAGGAGGTCCCTGTAAAACAAAACAAAACAAGATCATTCTGTTATAAAATTTTCTGCTCAGGGGATTGCAAAGCACTTTGGACACAATGATGAGGAGTTATGTTAATAAATAATACCACTGCTAATAATTCTGAAAGATCCGACCTGTATCTTGTCCTAGTTATTTACATTACACCCATATTGACTGGGCATTTGTCCCACTGAGAGCTGGTCCTCATGCCCAGAAGCTTTACTCAGTGCATTAGTATACACAACAAATTGCTTCCTTATTTAATTTGCCCATTGGCAGGTTCAAGTGGAACCCCAAATCCAACACTGATCTATGTGAAAATCCCACCACTCCCCGTCCCCAGAGGCTCATAGTGCCCAGAAGGGATAGAAGCAATACCATTCCACTGCACAGGGTGGTAGGAGGATAGGGGGAGACAGCACAGGAGCTCCCTCTGCTGTAGTGCACAAGGGGCTTTGGGGACAGACTGAAAATATGGCTGGTGGATCTGGGATGCATTTAAGCCACCACAAATGGTGATCTAGTGGGTGCAGCAGCTGCAGGGGCACTGAAACAAGCTGGGGTGCTGAAAGCCATTGAACAAAACTGTAAACCCTGTAGAGGACGGAAGCTGTGCATGCAGTTACTATTATTACTTCAAGCCAGAGGGTGCTTAGTGAGCAGCTATGGGGATTGCTATGGTTTTGAAGCTGCAGTAGCTATCACTCAGCAGCTCTGCCTCCAACTGGAGGCCTGGGCAAGGAGAATTCTCTCCCCCTGTTGCTGAGAAGCTAAATTTGCTTCTAAGGATAGAAAATAATTAATTCGATCTGATTAGCTAAGGAATCTTACCGTTAAACCTGGTGGCCCAGGGGGACCAATAGGACCTTGTGCGCCCAAGGGACCAGGTGGGCCCTGTTGGGAAAGGGAAGGAAGGAGTCAGAGATGCCCCTTTCAATGAAAAGCTCCAGCTGGCATCAGTTTTGGAGGGCCACAGCCATGCAGACAAGAATTAGCATCCATAAATGTCAACTCCAAGGACCCAACCATGACCCTGTCCATGTACAGCCCATGTCTAAGGGAAAGGCCTCAAGGCCACCAATACCATGGGGAACTTACAGCAACTTAACACTAGGAAGTGCCTTGCTGTCAGCTTTCAAGGTGCCTCTTTGGATTACACAGGATTTTTTTTTTTAAACCACTTTTACTCCCTTCCTACATGAAGCAAAAACAACAGAGCACTCTGCATTTCTATGGTCTCTTCCAGCCAAGAGTAGACAGTAGCAAGGCACAGAGCAGAACAACAGAGACACCCACAGGCCCAGTCTGATCAGACTAGTCCTGCGGTTTGCCTCTCTGTAGCGCACGGGAAAACTGTATCCTGGCTGATGTCCTGTGCAGGCTCATGGGCTCCTCATTCTCTGCTCCCCTCACCTCTCCAGTAAAATTACTAATGGCTCAACAGGGGAGCGGACTATATGGAGTCATTAGGTGTTTTCACAGGAAGGTGTGGGAAGCAAAGACCCACTGATGGGCTGGAGCCATTGGACTGCTGAAGAGATGAAGCCTAAGGAGAACACATTTCCCCTCATCCACAGCCCAGCAGGGCAGATGCTAGTTTTAGTAAGGGAGAGGAATAGTAGAGAACTCAGGAACTAGCCCAGACTCAGAGTGTGTCTCAAAGGGGTAGGGAAAAACACAAATAAACTGTGGCAGCCAGCAGGTAGCTCTTAGTACTGCTGTACTCTGAAGACAGCAGGCCCAGGCCCTCATTGGCCCCCTGCTGGCTGTTTCACTCATGTGCAACACATGTGCTTCAGAGCACTGAATATTGTTCTAGCCATTAATTATGCTGTCAGATTGAATTACTATTCAGTTCAGTGTAGTTTGTCCCCTACCAAAAAGCATACAATCAACAAATACTTTAGGGAACTTACTTGTAACCCTGGAAGTCCTGGAAATCCTGGGTCACCTTTCTGGCCTGGCAGTGATGACAAAATTATTTCACCCGGATCACCCTAAAAGAACAACAACTGATTTAAAGAAATTAATACCACACTGCATTCTTCCACTTCAAGCTAGCTTCAACAGACAGTGAGGAGACAGACATATTAATGCCCAGAGATATGTAAAACTACTATTTCTATAATACAGGTATACCTCTACCCCGATATAACGCTGTCCTCGGGAGCCAAAAAAATCTTACCGCGTTATAGGTGAAACCACATTACATCAAACTTGCTTTGATCCGCTGGAGTGCGCAGCCCCGCCCCTCTGGAGCGCGGCTTTACCGCGTTATATCCGAATTCGTGTTATATCCGGTCGCATTATATCAGGGTAGAGGTGTACTTAATTCTCCAATAAACAACCCTTTTAAAAAATGTTCCCTGTTTACTTACAGAATTAATTTTTGAGGTGCTTAGAACCTTCTACCAGCCATCCAAGTACACCATATTTTTATCTGCACGCTGGATACAAGCACCCGACTTGAATTTCAAAAGGTTAGGGGATTAAAATAAACATAAAAGAAAAGTAAAAGATATTTTATCTCCATTGGAAAGCAACAAACGGGTTGCCAGAAAATTGGTTTACACAGCTTTCTCCCATATCCCAGAGGATAGGCCCCATCTCATGAGATTACATTAGGGTCTGCAATTACCTTAGGCCATACAGCATAACTCATCTTTAAGCAATGCTTCTTATGTGGCTTTGTTATAAGTTTATTGACAGATATTTGGCTTAAAACAAACAAACAAACTTGGTCGGGAAGTGGGAGTGGGGCTGGGGAAAAAAATGTGACAGTGTTAAAGTCATCATTCCACGACCCCACCGTGCCAAGCTGTCCTTTCAGCAGCAGTTTGAGAGAACTTTTCCATAGTCCAAATTTAGTGTTTAATAGAAGAAAGTATATTTAAATTGGCTCTTGGCCCATATGGCTCAAGTAGCTCAAAGAGACAAAAATAAAGGCTTAAAAAATTAATAAAATGTGACTATATTTAAACTAGGAGGAAAAAGGTGCCTCTCTTATCCATCATAGATGTTTCCTAAGAGAATATAACTCTTTGCATTACCTCTCTTCCCATGATAATTTAAGTGATGTGTAATATTTTCTAATAGTAATTAGCCACTGGAGGGTGCACAAGCAAGCTACTTGTACACTTCTTGGTGGTTTTAGGCCTTTTATTAGCCTAATGCCTCACAACACACCAGGGGCATTCACTAATAGCCTGCTTGTGCACACACCATTGTGTCTTATCGTTATATTAAATTACAATGGAAGGAAATTGTCCTTTAAAATAAGGATCTATCCCTGTGAGGAGAATCAGATACCAAGGCTGGTGAGAAAGTGGTTTTCAGGACTTGGGGAGAAGGGTGTATATCTCTCTCTCTTTGCTTTGTGGATTTATCACCTGCCCTGGAACCCATTCTAGTCACCTGTGATGATCACCATTTCCATTGTTCTTTGGGGAATGGGTAGGACCAAGGGATTCTGAAGTTACTTCATTTTTACCACCTGCAGGCTCAGTGTGTTCCTTGCCATGTGTGAGGCCAGTGACAAAGTGGTCAAAATAGTTGGCAGGCTAGAAACAACTTTCAAGGCCATGCTAGTGATTTCTCTACAAATATTCCGTAGGATTTTCTGTATTTTAATCTATTTAGATCGTATGCATCTACACCAAGACACACAGCTTAAAACACATTGCTATACTGTTAAATAGTTCCTATAAAAGAGCAGAGTTAATTCTAACTAAGAACTAAATCATCTACTTTTTTCTGTGAATTAGTAATTTACATCCCAGCATATAGGAAGGTTTCTGTGTATTCTATGATCCCGTGACCATGGAATTTCATCCCAACTTCTTGCTAGTCCTCATGGTTGAGAAGAAAACTATTAAGCAAACAAATTGGCATGTTGTTGTTTTCCTGAGTCTGCAAAAAATTGCCGAGAGGTGTAAACTGCTCCATTCATCTTAATGGGGTATAACTCTAAAACCTACAGATGACAATTCAAACGTGCGCATTTCATTGCTGATCATTTTAGCAGAAATATCCTACTAACGTATTTCTCTCACAATCCTAAACTGTATCCCATGCCTTTTCAGATACAAATGCCCCCTCTCGCCCTATTAAGTTGCCAAAACATACTTGAATTTAATATTTCAACACCACACATGGTAGCTGCTGTATATATTGTATTATTCATGCACACATTGAATTCAGTAAAGGCCTGCATTTGTTTTTTTTAAATTGAGTACAAATGCTGCAGAGTTGCCAATTGGTCACATTAAGGAATGGCTCAGAAACCAGGGGCCTGGTGCAGAATTTAGGAGCAGCTGGCTGTGGAATATGCAGGGCCTTGCTTATAGGCAAACAGGTTACTTTTGTCAGATGCACACTAAACATCCATGCTTGCTTAACAGTTAGTTGCGAAAGTACAGAACACTTACCTTCATACCTGGTAGGCCAGGAGGTCCCTTTGTTTAAAAGAAATAAAAATAAGGAGGGGTGAGAAAATATCATACTATCAGCAACAAAAAAGAAGGTATGAATGTATTGTTGACATATCATTCTCAAAACACTGAATAGATTTCACTGAGAGGGGCAAGGTGACAAAGGGGAGAAAGACACAAAGGATACAAAACAAGGAGACCCAAACATTTCAAGCCTCTGCTGCTTCGCTGCTATTCAAGACAAAAGTTCTTCAGCAGCACTTTGAGTAAATATTGAACACTTACTAAATTAAGAACAGCAAATTCCCATTCACTTGGGGTTTGTTTTTAATATGCCTCCTGTTATTCTCTATATTACATGCTCATGGTTTCTCTTCTACCAATTCTTAGCTCCTGCAGGAATCACTTTGTTGCACATTCTTGCATTTTACAGAGAAAAATCTGCATTGTATATTTTTCTGATCCACAAATAGACAGCATCACTCCCAGATGTGCCTGGGGACATCACTTAAGATCGCTCTCCTTCCACCTCCACACATTTGTTTTCTCTGCCAGTGGCACAGCATCTCAGCAGTGAGAGAATGTAATATTCAAGCAAAGAAGAGATCAAATTCCCTATTAGCTTTACAAATAGCTTACACCAGAAAAGCTAGATGTTTTGAAGCACACCCAAATGGTATTTCATTAATTATTTACTTGTGGAAATTTTAATATATTTATTTGGGCACTGACTGTTTCACAATTCTAGGCAAAGGGTTTTCTGTGGGTTACAGGAAGTGGATCTGATTATATAAAATCTCTTACTTACAGGAGGACCTTGTAAACCTGGAAAACCTGGACTACCTGGGAATCCACGTTCCCCCTAAAGAAGGCAGAGAGAAGAGGCTTAGCCAGCAACAAAACCAGTGATGATACTAGAAAAATTAACACTACTGTAAGCTCATGAACCCGGAATGGAGAAAGGGGCATTGCAGCAGGTTATGGGTTAAACAGTTTACAAAACAAAAAAACACAGGTATGATTGAAACAGATGAAAAAGCACCCAACGGGCTCAAATAATGCCATGTGCATCATGGCTGTTTTTCTGAAAAGATACTACAGCAAACAATGCTATAGAAAAAGTCAATTACCTGGAAGCAGGCAGGCATCTCAATTTGAACATGAACCTTCATAGATGTGCCAGAGATAAATTAACTCATTGCCTAGACAGTTTCACTTTATGATCTATCCTTATCACAATAATAGTGCAATCAGTGGTTCCAAGGTGACTAAGCCAACAATAAATTACTGTCTCCAAATAAACAAGAAGAATATTTGGCACTTATCACCTTCAAAGCACTGTAACAAAATCAGCGTACGTCTACACTGCAAAACAAAACAAAAAACAAATCTCTGTGGCACTGAGTCTCAGAGCCCAGTTCAACTGACTCAGGCTTGTGGGGCTTGCACTACGGGGCTAACAATAGGGTTACCATACGTCCGGATTTCCCCGGACATGTCCGGCTTTTTGGGATTCAAATCCCCGTCCGGGGGGAAATCCCAAAAAGCCGAACATGTCCGGGAAAATCCGGCGCCGCTGGGCCGGGGGCTGGCCCGGGGCGCTGG